GTTGGAATGATCTTTCTAAAACATTATCCAAGTGTTTATACCTCTCAGACCCCACACTCTTTCTTCTGCTACCTAGGGTGCATTACAACACAGTGAGAGAGCTCCAGTGGTCTAGTGAGCTGTGCTGCCAGCCCAAAGGTGGTGGTGCTTGTTAGGTGCCTTCGAGTTGAGTACTACTCATAGCGACCCTATGAACAACAGTTCTGAACCCTGCCCTGTCCTGTACCATCCTCATCATCTCTGACACCTTTGAGACCATTACTGCAGTCACCATGTCATTCCATCTCATTAAGGGTCTTCCTCTCTTTCACTGACCCTCCACCTTTTGAAGCATGATGTCCCTTTCAAAGGATAGCCTCTTTTTTTTTTTGTTTTATTTTATTATTTTTGTGTGAGTGTACCATCAAATCAGATCTGACTGGTACAGGAGGAAATTGTCCCTCCTTCTCCAGCAGAGCATATGGTGAATTCGAACCGTGTACCTCTGGGATTGCAGTACAGCTTCTTGCCATCAGGGCACCAGAGCTCCCCTAAGGATAGCCTCTTTTAGCAACATGCCCAAAGTATGTGAGGTGAAGCTTCGCCATCCTTGCCTCTAAGGAGCACTCTGGTTGCACTTTCTCCAAGACATACCTGTGTGTTCTTTTGGCCGTCCACAGTAAGTGGTTCGAATCTACCAGCCTCCATGAGAGAAAGATGGGTAGTGTCCTCCCATGCAATTTATGAAAACCCACTGCTGTGAATTAGCTGTGGGTCAGCTGGGAATCTGTTCCGACTTGATCATACACAACAACAACAACAGCATTTTGAGATCAGAGGTGACTCAGAGATAGAATTCTTGTCTTCCATGCGGGCTATCTGTATTTGATTCCTGGCCAGTGCATCTCATGCACGGCTAACACCTGTCTATGATGCTGAGCAGCTGCCGGCAGAGTTTTCACACTAGGAGGAACTAGGAAGAAAGGCCTGGCCATCCCTTCCAGAATTTAACCAACATTAAACCCCTCTGGATCACAGCAATCTGATCCACCTGTTTATAGGGTCGCCGTGCGGCAGGGGCCAACTAAGTGACAGCTGGCAATGACAGCGCTGTACCAGGTGGGAGAGAGTGGTGGGCACACAGCTGGTGAGTGTCTTGACAATGAAGTAAGAATAAGGGGCAACAGCATTCTTCCTGCTGCCCACAACTGTCTTTACCTTGAGCATTCCCTTTCCTCTGCTTTTGGCGCTTGGATCAGAGGCTTTGGAGCACTGGAAGTTTCATGTTGCTGAATTTGGAGACAGGAAGAAGCAGCCAGGGGTGATAAAACATGGCTCAGGAAACCTCGGCTCTGGGTCCATCCCAATTTCCGATGCCTGGTACGTAGGAGGCTCCGTCGTGAAAGCATATGTCTCCCCTGCAGTGGTGAGGACCGAGCACCAACAGTGGGATCTTACATCCTACTTGGCTAGCTTTCAGAGAAGAGGAGGTGGTGGCAGAAGTGATGGTGGGGAAAAGTGGGTGTAGAAGGAGGCCCTGGGCGAGGCACTCCCTCCTGAAACTCAGCTGTCTCCAGATGCCCCTCTGGATCCCAGCATGTGCCACCCACCCCCACTGCAGGATGGCATATGGTCGTCTGTCAAGAGTGCTCCTCGGAGAGTGGGGGCGGGAGACGTGCGAGGGTAATGAACTTGCCAGATGGCAGTCACCAACGGCAGCCTTGCCATTCTTGGCGGATCAGATGAATGACGCCAGTGGGAGCAGGCTCCTAAGCTAGGTGAAAAAGCTCTCTGGAAGCCAGCTCGATGTCAGCTCCCCGCCAAGCCTTCAATGTGAGTGTGTATACCCTTATTAGAGGCGTACTCTGAAAGCAAGTCAGCCCAGCAGAACTGCCCGCTAGTTCAGCCTGGGATGTTGGCACAGGCCTCCTGGCACCAACCATGCCCTTCTTGGATTGCTTGGTGCTGCCCCACCCAACAGAAATCCTTACTCGTTGCACTGTCCGTGTCCGCTTCTCCTGTCTGGTTCTTGTGTCTCCAGCACCCCTTCTCCTCCCTCCTCCCCCCATGACCTTGGACAGTTGAAAAGTGTCTTGAGCAAACGCTGGCCCCTTTTGTTGGTCCCTCCTGGCTCCTTGGAAGCCTGCCCTGGTTTGAGGCAGTCCTTGTTCAGTAAAGCCATTAACAAGAAGCAGTCTTGGGACCTTACAGGCAAAGGGAAGGCGCTCTGCTTTCCAGGACTGGGAGTGGCTTGGCTGACCCCTGTGGCAGCAAGGGAAGCAGAGGAGACATGGCGGCTGCTCCCTTAATTAGAGGAATCCACAGTATTCCGTGTTGTTAAGTGTCCGCTGGGGGAGTGTCTGAGTGGAAGGCTAACTTTATGGTGCAGTAACAATAGCAGCTAGTGTTTGAATCCCAGCCAAGTGACCCATCTTTCAGTGGAGTCCTGTGTGGGGCTGTGATGCTGAATACAAGATTTCAGTGGCGTTTCCACACTAAGATGGGCTAGGAAGCAAGGCCTGGAGGTCTCCGTCTTAAAAATCAGCCCATGGAAACCTTGTGGAAGACAAAGATCCAATGCCAATGCGTATGAGATTACTGTGAGTTAGGGACCAACTCATTGGCTGTTACCAACAACAGAAACAGTTGACTGAATGCTTGCTACATTTAAAACACCGTGCTAACTGCCAGAGGAACATTATGTTATATTATTCTCTCGTCAGTCCCATGAGGCGGGAGCTACTAGTTCTAAATCTTATGCCTGGGGAAACCTTGACAAGTAGGTTGCGTGAGGTCACACAGCTGAAAAGTGGTGGAGGTGGGACTCGAACTTGGGCCTTAATCTTCACTCTCTTACCATCTTTGTAAATCCTCAACATGCCCTCAAGAAAGGACTGCTTCCTTTTTTAAAAATTTAATTTTATTAATTTTAATGAACATTTATAGAGATTTTGGATTTCCATTCATTCATTGTTGCACTTTTCTCCCTGCCCTCCCCCCCAGTTTGCTCCTCGCTTTGAAAAGCAAAAGAATCCCCCCCCGCCCCAAGTACACTCCACTATGCAACCTTAATTCTGGACTCTTGTGATAACCATAATACCCTATCATATATCACTTTTAAACTGTTCTCTCCCTCATCTGTTTCAACGCAGTATACATAATTGATCCAGTTTTTCTCTTACCCCAACCCTGATGTCAGTCCCATTCTACAACAGTGGAACCATG